AATGGAAAACTCTTGCCTCTTATGCTCCAGTAAGGTAGCAAAGTTCCTCCATGAGGGAGGAAGCTTAGTGATGATGCCTCCGGCAACAAACTTGTCCGGTAACATACAATTGAAGTGCTCAAGTTCTCTAGCAAATGACTGTATCTTATGAGCTTGCTCAACCACGGAGCGCTCATTAGTCATCCTGTAGTCATAGAATTGCTCCATGATGTACATCTCAGTGCCGGCAACCGAGATCCCAAACTTGGCCTCGAGTGCGTCCCACATATATTTGCCATTGGCAATTGATGCATAAGCATCAACTATGTTCTCACCAAGAACACTCAAGAGAGCATCCTTAAACATGGTATCCATTTTCTAAAAAGCTTGTTCCCGTTGAGCATCATAATTTTCTTGAGGTTTGCCAAGAGTGGCATCATAGCAACTCATGGTTTGAAACCATAAGACCGCTCTCACGCGCCACCTCTTATAGTGGATACCCTCAAACATAGGAGGTCTCATGGAAGCAGCAAAACCACTCGGGTAAATTGCCTACAATGAGATTTTTGGATTGTTGGAAATATGAGTAATTTACCATAAGATTTTATTAACAGAAATAGTAGAGAAAACATGACTATCATAGTAGAGATGAAACAAGTCATATAATCTAAAGATGAGACATCATATGGCATGTGCACATATGAACTAGAAGAGAACATGTGTAGAAAAGAGGCTAGAACCAGAAACGCTAGAGTAAGAAACCGAGGCAAGATATTAAACAGAGAGAACACGAAGACATACGAAACAACATCAAAAGCACTGGTCTTGGGGTCGGTGTCCTCGCCAGCCATGTTGTTGAAGAGGTTGTCGACGTCGGGGAAGAAGGTGTCGTCGGGGAAGTAGTCGTCAGAGTCCGGGGCGTCTGTGATGAAGAAGTCAGTAGTCGCGCGGAGCGCTCCCCAAAAACCTTATCACCCTTCTCCAGTACATGACTCAAAAGCGGTGGGGTTTCGGAGGCCTACTGTCCTGACCTGCGGTGCACGCCGCAAGCTGGGATGGGGAAGATCGTAGCAGTAGCTCGGTGCTCAGGAACGGTGGCGAGAAGAAGTGCGCCGTTTGCATTCACATCGGCTCGACTCATTCCCACAACCCACGGCGCGTCATGACGAGGCGTGGCGTGGCGAGACGGGCAACGGAGGAGGAGAGCGCGTGGATGTGCCTCTTGTTCTCATGCTCATACATGTGAAGAAACAACCTTCCTTATAAGGAGGTCCAACTCCCACCAAACTAGCAATGTGGGACTAAACTTTAGTTCCACCTCTTGCCTTGCACGAATGGGCTGCGTGAGTCTCTAGAATTTATTAGGAATTTCTGAAACTGCTATTGGGCTGTCCCATAAATAGACAAAATTCCAGCAAGAGCGACGCGACTGGGCGAAAGTTGCGCCGGCGCGCCGATTTCAAATGTTTTCCATCGAAAAACATACCACATATCATGATGGCTACTCATTGTTCGGCTTTTATTAGGTTTTCAGTATCGGGAGAGGCACCTATTACGTTTCTCTTTCCTCGGTCCAAATGGTGCCCGTTTCTATTGTTTTTCACTCCCGAGCATTACAAAGAGAGATGAGATGGCAATAAGAGTGGCGCCTCGTAAGAGAGGACATATATGATCCCCCATGAGACATGTATGAAGAGAGTGGTGGGCTGGAAGGGGGAAGGGTGGTGGCAGAAAGCTCATCGCCCGTAGAAAAGGGTAAGCCCCCTCTATGTTGTTTTCCTTGTGTTTTTCTTCATTTTTCGCGTGTGCCAGCCAACGACTCGTTGGTGTCTTCATCTAGGTACGTTGCAAGGCCGACAAATCATAGGTTGCATACAAGTGGGTGTATGTGTGTTTTGTCTAGTTTAGATTAGGAGGGGATTTTGGTATATGAGTGAATTGTTTTCCTAGATTTCCCTAAGGTTCATGGACCCCACTTTTTATTTTGTTCGCCAGGTCACTGCCAAACAGTTAAATATGGATTAAATTCATATGTTTATTAGCATTAGTATTCATGCTTTGCTCAAAAAGATACATATCTTCTAATTTTGGTATTAGTTTTCAATCTACCGTGTGTGGTTGGTAGTAATTGATTGATTTTATTGGATTGCATTGCTACTTAGTTGTTGGTGCCGTGCTTGTCATTCACACCTTAGATGTTTTAGATCCTGGACCGCGCGTTCCTTTGTCATCATGAGCGTCTTTGTATTTGCTTTTGTTTGGTCTAACTAGATGCCATCTATAATATATTTTCATGACCTCTCAATTTTTATTTTACTACAGGTGTTCTGTGAGAGTGCTCTTTACGTAATCTACACATCTCAAGGAAACAATGTGTATGGGCTTGCGCATATCTTCGTCAAAGGTATAGGTCTGTAATATGCATGTCTTTCTTATCACTTAAATCATTAATTATTACCCATCCAAACCTTCATTTGTAGATTCTCAATGTTCAGTTTTCTTTAGTTATTTAGTCGTCCATCTTCTTTATTTGACCGGTTTATATTGTCTTACACTTCATACATTGGTTCAAAAGCTTTGTTAATCGCTAGCTTTCGAAGCTATAGAAAATATTGTTTTTAATAGTATTTTATCTTCTTTTTTTGTTCTTTTGAGGAGCTCATATCCCCCTATTTGTGAGTGTGTTTCACATTGATAGTCGACGAAGGCTCTATGTCAGTGTAGATTCCGGAAGACCCTTCCATAGGATGCCACAATGAGTCGGAAAGTTCAAAGGGAAAACAAAGAGTCAATTTACCTAGGTTTAGGGCTCTCGTGATAGAGGTAAAATCCTACTTCTGCTCTTTTTGTATTGATTGGATGGGATACACATAGTACAAGGAAATCGTAATGATCAAATGTATACCAAAGAGTTGAGAATAATGTGTCTATCGACCAGCCCAGCCTCGCGTGGGAGTATTTTCCGGCAGATCCCTTAATATGTTACTTTAGTTACATTAGTAGATCGGATGAGAAACATGAGAGGATTTTCCCAGTATGCCATTAAGGGGCTTAGCATGGGCCATATCCGCTAAGTTTTCCCCGCAAAAAAAAATATCCGCTAAGTTTTGACTAAGGCCCATGTGCCTTTGACTGGGCTGGCTTTTTTGTTAACTAATGAGCCTGTAATGGGTGGTGCCACCAGTCCTTACTTCATAGGCTCACATTGCCCATTGTTCGTGTGTCATTTCTTCCAATGAACAACCAATGCGTAGCTCCATCGTCCAATAGAAGGCCGACACGTGGAGGATCGTCAGTTGGCCACGTAGTTAATGGGTATCAGATCCAGAATCCTACGGTTAACTTAACGGTGACCTGTTACGGCGACTGCCACATGTTGGGTACCCTTGACGAAGCATTTTCATGTTGCGCACATTTTCTGTCATGAAAGATCATACTTCCATAATTAAGAAGTGATTATTGTCGTGGCCCGTGGGACAGCCATTTTTTCTGAATTTTTTACCAAGTTATTGGGACAAAAGAGTATGAATGGCCCAAAACAGTCCAGAAGACCGAAAATTATGCGAGTCAGCCCATTTACCATGTGTGCCGTCTCGTTTGCGAGGTGAAGCCAACGTGCCGGCACAACACGGGCCGCCACGGGTCAAGCCCACTTAGGCGCGTGTCGTGTCCGGGCCAGCCCGTTGGCCACCTATGGATCCACCTGTAAGTGACACATGTGCAGGGCACGCATGAGTCCTTTCTCTATTACCCGAAAGCAAAAGTTATTCTCAAAAAAAAAAAAGCAAAAGCTCGATGCCGGTGCACACACTAGTGTAAACACGGTTGTCTCAAAAAAAAACCTAGTGTAAACACGGCCGTAAGTCGGCCTAGTCTCTTGCTCTGCGGTGAGGACGAACTTGCATATGGTGCGACGGATGCGCATGGGCTGGGGGTAATGATTTGCAGAGCTTCTACCTCGAGAACAAGTGTCACACGGGGCCGGAAAATGGCAGGGTGGTAGAGAGAAAGAGATTGTTACCGGGGGCTCGACGGCGCCACGCCTCCCGATCTCCTCCGCCGCCTACCGACCGGCAGCGGTGCCTCCGCCTCCCTCCGGTGAAGCTCCCCCGAGCGCTGCGCCTCCAGGTCCCTCTGCCCTCCGGCGACGGCCGACTGCCCGGCGGCCGCCCCCCTTGCCCCTAGCTCCACCCCGCCTGAAGCTCCCGCCCCCTCCGGCGACGGCGACGCGACGGCCCGGCGGTCGTCTTCCTCCTCCGTCGACCAGGTTAGCCCCCTCCTATTCCTCCTCTTTCTCGCCCCGCTGAGCAGCGCTTCCGTGCCTCGCCTCCGGTAGGCTCGAGCCGAAGTTGGATCTGCGGCACATGCAGCTCCCACTCGAACCCTGTATTTCGCAGCTCACAGCAGAATACGCCCAGCTCCAAGGCCGGGGACAGAAGGTGGTCTGTTCCCTCCCTTTACTGCTGTCCTCTTCTTGCGATTGTGATGCCGCCACTTGTTGCGTTTCTCGGAGCGCTGTGTTGTTTTCTGCTCGTTTGTTGCTTGTTCCTCCTCTAGTCTGTTCGTCTTCTCCTGATTCACCCCCAAAATTCGCCCCTTCCCAGACTTACTTCTTGTTCTTCTCCCTTTAGCTTGCCTCTGGGATTCTTTCTTTGCCGCAGGGAGTGAGCAATTGAAATCAAAACGTCACTCTTTCGCCTCGATTTGTTTGCTTCATTGCAGCCCACTAGTCCAATCCATCCAGCGATGGATCGATTGAGTTCCTTTTTTTCAGCTAAAGGTGCGAGAGCAGCTTATCACATCCTAACCAATCCAGCTTATACAGATGTGAAAGCATTGCTACCATTTCACATTATTAATGTTTCCCCAATGTACATTCGTATTTCAGGGCTCAGGGGTTATTTTTGTTGGTAAAATTAGTTGTTTATGTTCTTGTTGAGTGGCTGAAATAATGCATGAGGTGTTGATATTTCAGGTTTGATCAGGAGTTTGTAAGAAGCTCCTGGATTATAACTGATCAGATGCTTGGGCACAACAATATGTCGCCCAACAGACTAGAGGTCGTGCTGATGCTGTTGATGCTCATGGTTTACAATGCTTCAGGTACTCTTAAACATGGATGTTGTTTTAAATTACATGAGTGCTTTCAACATGGTTAGTATGCTTAATTGTGTTAATGCAATCTGATTTCCCAGTGTGCCAGTGCCTAGTTTGAGGAAAACATAATTTATTGTTCTGAACTGAAGAAAATAGAAGATAGTGCATACAAACATACATCCTTTTTTGTATTATATTTTCCTTCACATAAATTTGTTACTGTTCTCTGTTCTATGTAGGAGCATTTGTTGGTATCAACATTGGCACTAACGTGTCAGACCTGCCATCAGCATCAGACATAGTCTCCATCCTTAAAGCCAAGAAGATTCAACATGTTCGCTTGGTTGATTCAAACCATGAGATGCTAGTCGCCCTTGCGAACACTGGAATTGAAGTGATGGTTGGTGTGCCAAATAATGAGCTGCTCCGTGTGGGGCAATCTCGTCCGACAGCTGCTGATTGGATTAACAAGAATGTTGCTGCCTACATTCCAGCAACAAACATCACGTATATTGCCGTGGGTGATGAGATTCTTACTACTGTCCCAAATGCAGCTCTTGTTCTAGTACCTGCATTGCAATTCCTCCAATCAGCACTGTTGGCTGCAAACCTCAATACCCAGGTGAAACTATCAAGTCCTCATTCAATGGATATGATCTCTAAGGCATTTCCTCCCTCTGCTGCCACTTTCAACTCAACATGGAGCTCAATAATGTTACAGTATCTTGGATTTCTGAAGAGGACAGGATCTTCCTTCATGCTGAATGCTCAACCGTACTATGGCTATGTGAAAGGGCAAGGTGTATTCCCTTTAGAGTATGCCCTGTTTCGATCACTCAATCCCAACAGTCAGATTGCAGATCCGAACACCAATTTGTTCTATACCAATATGTTTGATGCTATGGTTGATGCCACATACAACTCAATGAAAGCAATGAATTTCACCGATATTCCTGTAATGGTCACAGCTTCTGGTTGGCCATGGCATAGTGCACGCAAAGAACCGGCTGCGGATGTTGATAATGCTCTGGCCTACAATACAAATCTCATACGCCATGTACTAAATAACTCTGGTACCCCTAGCCAGCCAAATAATCAAGTAAGCACATACCTGTTTGAGTTGTTCAGCGAGGATCTTCGGTCAGGATCTGTTTCGGGGGAAAGTTGGGGGATTATGTTTACCAATGCAAGTGCAGTGTACTCCCTGACATTTGAAGATGTGGCTACAGCTAGTACTGATTCACCGGCTCTGCACGGGATGTTTTGTGTGGCAAATTCAAGTGCACCCCATAGTGCATTGAAGCAAAGTTTGGATTGGGCATGTGGCCCTGGTTCTGCAAACTGCAGCGCAATTCAACCTGGGCAGCCGTGCTACAAACCAGATGACATTGTAGCTGTTGCTTCGTATGCTTTCAATGATTATTATCATAGAACGCAAGCAAGTGGAGGAACATGTAACTTTAATAGCACAGCAACGATATCATCTACGGATCCAAGTAAGCTAAATTTCCTCCTGAGTATTCATGTATTAGCTAGTAGGTACTGCCATAGTAGAACTAACTACAGAATCAATCAGTAGATGCAGGTTTGAGTATTCCCTTATGGTTGGCATTTCATATAAAATTATTATCGTTGGTCTCACTATCTCAACACTAAAAAGGAGATTTCATATGACCTGATTGGCTGATTTACTACTTGCGTGTAACACTTTGTGCAACCTTTAGCAATCTTTATTCTTCGTTCATCCTCTAGTACTAGGGGTGAAACAGAAAGCTTTTTGTATCCTGTGGAAAGTGCAGTGCAGATTTTTACAAGTTTCACCTAATCATTAGCCATCATAGCTCCTCTGATCTGTGTATTTGCTCTATTCTGTTATCTGAGTCCTTAATCTGCCGTCAAAAATTTATTGCATCTTAGTGTAAGTTTTCCTTGAAGACTTTATGTTAATTAGTCTGGTAGGTTGAGCTAAGAAGCTCAATTGCTGCTCTGTCTCTAAGATTCTGCCGATGCACGCCTGCACAGAAACTTGTATGCAAATGATGCCTAATTGGCAAATCTTCCTGTTTTTAGTCACAAGGAATGGTCAGACGTGTCAGTAAGAAGTGGCAAACTTTACCTGCCCTCTCACATGTTAGAATCGACATGGTTTTTACATGCCTTCTTGGCATACGGCATATATTAGCAGAAGGTTGCTTTGGTCCAAACAGAACTGAAAGTAGCTTAATTGTGGAAGTATTGGTTTGACCATTCCTGATGACTTGGCTTGTTTATTCTCCATACGGCTTAGACACTATTGGAAACCAACCAGCAAGATTCAGATGCTATTGTTTATTCTCCACGCGGCTCAGACACTATTGGAAACCAATACAAGGATAACAGATCTATGGTTGTAGTACTGAATGTACATGTTTGTTATGTATATCGAATGAGGCATATTATAAACCATGCGTAGGAGTCCGAAGCCAATCATCTGATCTGCTCATGCTAATATATAGAAACCATATACCATTAGTTGGTTAGAAAATCGCGACAGTCATCCTGTAGTTACTCACATTTTGATATATGGTTCTGTCTTGTTATTCAAGTGTTCGCTGTTACAATATTGCAATTACCGCTTTGGTGTGTGACATGAGCCTAAACAAAGTTTCCCCTGAATTTAAACTTGCAGGCCATGGTTCATGTAAATTTGCAGGAAGGTGAGTCGTACTTCTTCGGTGTGTTCTTGTAAGTTCAAACTTCTATCGTTGTTCTATACTAACAATGAGGTTTGGTTCTATCTGCAGCACCGGTGTCAATGGCAGTGGTATGGCTTCTGGACCTGTGAGCCAAGATAGTTCCGCTTCACAATCTCAATCTTTCTGGTTGACTTGGCTAATCGCCATGCTGCTGCCTGTTCTACTTCTCATGTAAAACATTGTAACCGAACGTTGTATTTTGGATGAGATGCGTGAGATTTGTTGCGCCTCTTGTTGTTAGATAGAAAGGGGGCCCATTTGTCTCACTTTATTGAGGTGGTAAATGCCATGTACTCCCTCTGTAAATAAATATAAGACCTTTTAGATCACTACTTTAGTGATCTAAAACGTCTTATATTTGTTTACACAGGGAGTGTCTCTCAATTTTAGTTGTACTAGAAATGAACAGGCAAGGTGCACTAACTTTCAATGTCAAGCTGGGAAACTTCAATTGTCCTATAGAAATGAACAGGCAAGGTGCAATCCTTTTGCATGAAAGGTTTCGCACCTCTTGCTAGTTTTGTTTAGGGTCTGAGTGTTGGCGTCAAGGTCAACAATGATATATGTCATTACCTCTGGGCCAAAACAAAGGCGACAAGGAGACCCGTTGTGGCTGATTGTTTTTGATATTGCCGCGGATATGTTAGCCACTCTCATAGCACGGGATTGATCCGGTTGTGCGCTCCCTTATCTTCGGCCAGTGAGGCTTCATGAGGGTGTGACGTGAAGCTTCACTTTATTGACGGGGTCATGGGACATTAAATATAGATTTCCATTGCACTGACAGAAGTGAAGAAAGTCATGGTGGCTGCGATCGAAGGTTTGCAATGGTGTAGAGGTGCTTTGGTGCCAATGAAGAATGACGGCACAGGTTCTTCCTGTGCGTCGGGTGTTGATGACTTGCTGCAGCGTTCTTGGCAAGAGGGGGCGGCAGCACAGGTGAACTGCATTTTGTTGTAGTGCTCCTCGAGCACCGAGTCACGATTTACAGGGTGAAAGCCCAATGTCTGGCCTTTATTGGATGTGCCTGGCAATGGCCTTGCAGAAGACATTGTTTTGTGAAATCGGATTTTCTCCTGAGTGAAAACTCAAGATCTTTGATCGGACGATGACAATGCCGGTGCATTGTTTCCTTCTTGAAGGCATCGATTTTGAAGAATCCCTTTTTGCAGTTCAGGTGTTGTCTTCGGTGGTGATTAGAGTGTTGTTGTTGTGAGTTTTTCATCACTGTGACGGGGTCTTTGTTTTATATTTCTCTCTTTTATTTTTTTCTTGGTTGTGTGCATCCTTGATATCTTTCGATATCTTGTTGGTGCAGAGGCTGGGTGTAATTGTCAATATTAATATATTCCCTTTGTCGAAAATAGCACGGGATAAAGAGGGATGGCCAATTTGGAGATCTTGTTCTACGTCTAGTAGAGGGTGGGATATCCATCTTATAGTATGCAGGTGATACCTCGCCTTTGTGGAATATGATATGGATAAAGCCATTAATATAAATCTTCCCTTGTGTCTGTTTGAGCAACTTTCTGGATCCAAAATCCAGTTTCACAAAAATTAGACCATTTGTTTTGGAAAAACTAGAGTCCGAAGAGTAGTGAAACAATTGTTTGGGTGTGAATCTGTTATGCTTCTATTCAAGTACTTGGGAATTCCTATTATTAATTAAGCTTCTGAATAAAGAATGGAAAGGTATTGAAGACAATTTTAAAGCAATTGAAAAGGCAAGTTTTTTTGAAAAAACTCAAGCTTTATTCATTTGTAATAATCATTACATCGTTTATGAGGATTGGTACAATTTCATTTAAAGGCTTCTCAAACCAATCAAAAATCAAAGAAAATCTAGCCAATCTAGAAAGTTCGTGAGCAACTTTATTTGCTTCTCAATGCTCAAACCTAGAAATAGGAAAATCACAAGCAAAATGAAAACAATCATCAAATTGAAAAGGCAAGTTGTTCTCACACGGAGGATGATTTTTCCTAATTAATTCGGTCCTTCCTACTTTACCTATGTTTATGCTATGCTTCCTGCAAGTACCTAAAGGGGTGCGGAAGAGGATTGACTTCTTACAGATCCAAATTCTTATAGCAATATGTATTGGGGAACGCAATATTTCAAAAAAAAATCCTACGATCATGCAAGATCTATCTAGGAGATGCATAGCAACGAGAGGGGAGAGTGTGTCTACGTACCCTTGTAGACCGAAAGCGGAAGCGTTAAGTAACGCGGTTAATGTAGTTGAACGTCTTCGCAATCCAATCGATCAAGTACCGAACGCACGGCACCTCCGCGATCTGACACGTTCAACTCGGTGACGTCCCTCGTACTCTTGATCCAGTTGAGGCCGAGGGTGAGTTGCATCAGCACGGCGACGTGTTGACGGTGATGATGAAGTTACCGATGCAGGGCTTCGCCTAAGCACTACGAAAATATGACCGAGGTGGAAGACTGTGGAGGGGGGCACCGCACACGGCTAAAGATCAACTTGTGTGTCCATGGGGTGCCCCCTCCCTCGTATATAAAGGAGGGGAGGAGGAGGCCATCCGGCCACAAGGGGCGCGCCAAGGGGGGAGGAATTCTACTCCTAGTAGGAGTAGGTTTCCCCCTTTCCTAGTCCAAGAAGAAGGGAAAGAGGAGAGAAGAGAAGGAAGGAGGGGGGGGGGGGCGCCCCCTTCCCTTGTCCAATTCGGACAGGGCAAGGGGGGCCGCGCGCCACTTCCGGCCGGCCCTCTCTCTTCTCCACTAAGGCCCATTGTGGCCCATTAATCCCCCGGGGGGTTTCGGTAACCTTCCGGTACTCCGGAAAATACCCGATATACTTCGGAACCATTCCGGTGTCTGAATATAACCTTCCAATATATAAATCTTTATGTCTCGACCATTTCGAGACTCCTCGTCATGTTCGTGATCTCATCCGGGACTCTGAACAACCTTCGGTACATCAAATCACATAACTCATAATACATATCGTCATCGAACGTTAAGCGCGCGGACCCTACGGGTTCGAGAACTATGTAGACATGACCGAGACATATCTCCGGTCAATAACCAATAGCGGAACCTAGATGCTCATATTGGTTCCAACATATTCTACGAAGATCTTTATTGGTCAAATCGCATAACAACATACGTTGTTCCCTTTGTCATCGGTATGTTACTTGCCCGAGATTCGATAGTCGGTATCATCATACCTAGTTCAATCTCGTTACCGGCAAGTCTCTTTACTCGTTATGTAATGCATCATCCCATGACTAATTCATTAGTCACATTGCTTGCAAGGCTCATAGTGATGTGCATTACCGAGAGGGCCCAGAGATACCTCTCTGATACACGGAGTCCTAATCTCGATCTATGCCAACTCAACAAACACCATCGGAGACACCTGTAGAGCATCTTTATACTCACCCAGTTACGTTGTGAAGTTTGATAGCACACAAGGTGTTCCTCCGGTATTCTGGAGTTGCATATTCTCATAGTCATAGGTATAAGTCATGAAGAAAGCAATAGCAATAAACTAAATGATCATAGTGCTAAGCTAACGGATGGGTCTAGTCCATCACATCATTCTCTAGTGATGTGATCCCGTTCGTCAAATGACAACACATGTCCATGGCTAGGAAACTTAACCATCTTTGATTAACGAGCTAGTCAAGTATAGGCATACTAGGGACACTCTGTTTGTCTATGTATTCACACATGTACTAAGTCTTCAGTTAATACAATTCTAGCATGAATAACAAACATTTATCATGATATAAGTAAATATAAATAACAACTTTATTGTTGCCTCTATGGCATATTTCCTTCAGTCTCCCACTTGCACTAGAGTCAATAATCTAGATTACACAGTAATGATTCTAACACCCATGGAGTCTTGGTGCTGATCATGTTTTGCTCGTGAGAGAGGCTTAGTCAACGGGTCTGCAACATTCAGATCTCTATGTATCTTGCAAATCTCTATGTCTCCCTCCTTGACTTGATCGCAGATGGAATTGAAGCGTCTCTTGATGTGCTTGGTTCTCTTGTGAAATCTGGATTCCTTTGCTAAGGCAATTGCACTAGTATTGTCACAAAAGATTTTCATTGGACCCGACGTACTAGGTATTACACCTAGATATGATATGAACTCCTTCATCCAGACTTCTTCATTTGCTGCTTCCAAAGCAGCTATGTATTCCACTTCACACGTAGATCCCGCCACGATGCTCTGCTTAGAACTACACCAACTGACAGCTCCACCATTCAATAAAAATACGTATCCATATCCGGTTTGTGACTTAGAGTCATCCGGATCAGTTTCAAAGCTTGCATTGACATAACCGTTTACGATGAGCTCTTTGTCACCTCCATAAACGAGAAACATATCCTTAGTCCTTTTCAGGTATTTTAGGATGTTCTTGACCGCTGTCCAGTGATCCACTCCTGGATTACTTTGGTACCTCCCTGCTAAACTAATAGAAAGGCACACATCATGTCTGGTACACAACATTGCATACATGATAGAACCTATGGCTGAGGCATAGGGAATGACTTTCATTTTCTCTCTATCTTCTGTAGTGGCCAGGCATTGAGTCCGACTCAACTTCACGCCTTGTAACACAGGCAAGAACCCTTTCTTTGCTTGATCCATTTTGAACATCTTCAAAACTTTATCAAGGTATGCGCTTTGTGAAAGTCCAATTAAGTGTCTTGATCTATCTCTATAGATCTTGATGCCCAATATGTAAGCAGCTTCACCGAGGTATTTCATTGAAAAATTCTTATTCAAGTATCCTTTTATGCTATTCAGAAATTCAGTATCATTTCCGATCAACAATATGTCATCCACATATAATATCAGAAATGCTACGGAGCTCCCACTCACTTTCTTGTAAATACAGGCTTCTCCAAAAGTCTGTATAAAACCATATGCTTTGATCACACTATCAAAGTGTATATTCCAACTCCGAGATGCTTGCACCAGTCCATAAATGGATCGCTGGAGCTTGCACACTTTGTTAGCACCTTCTGGATCGACAAAACCTTTTGGTTGCATCATATACAACTCTTCTTTAAGATACCCATTAAGGAATGTAGTTTTGACATCCATTTGCCAAATTTCATAATCATAAAATGCGGCAATTGCTAACATGATTCGGACGGACTTAAGCATCACTACGGGTGAGAAGGTCTCA